GAGCCCACTCTTCCTGGACCCACCCCTCCCGGGCCGCAATAACCTCAAACGTGTGGAGGTAAGCCTCGATGTCGTCGTTCTCGGTCAACCGGAAGAGGTATTGGTGCGCTCTGACCGGTGCTTCCGGGAGGGGCAGGCGCCCCGCCATGCTGGCCTGCAGCTGTTCCACGACCCGGTCAGTATATTCCTGCCGGGCGGCCAGTCGCTCTGTAAACTGCTGCTGGCGGGCCGAGAGCTCCGTTAGGCGGCGGATGACCTCTTCCATGTGTCCGGGGGAAGAGAGCGTTTTCTCCTAGAAGAAGCACAGATATCGTTAAGGCCACCTGGCGGTACCCATCTGTGTCTCAATTCACCTGTTCTGCCCGCATTCTCCACCATATTTTCATGAACTCCTGTCAACTCAGGCTTTGATCCTAAGTTTGTGGAGCATGTGCACATGAATGTGTGACATCACTGGTGAACAGCCAATCACGAGCCTTGGTTAAAGGTTAAAGGTTTTGCTAAAGGTTAAGAGATTGAAGAATATGATGAATTTAAATGCATTTACAAAGAAAAAAGTACTTGTTCATGAAAGAGGACAAATAAAAGAATTGATCTTGCTTTATCAGTGCAGTCACAAGTGAAACTATATACAGCGATAGAGAGAAGCATTATCTATTGATTCTACAGCTTATTTATATTACATACGATCGGTATATATTAACATTCATTGAAAATAAATGATTTATAATAACTGTTAAACTAAAATTGTTTGTGTGTAATGGATTACTGATATAAATCATATAATTATATAAATCATAAAAAACAACTCTAAGTAATTATCATTAAAGCCAGACATTTTTTTAGGACTAGTGACCTTTAATTTGGAGCAAGTTAAACTGGGGGAGTGACTTTTTTGTGTCAGACGTGCCACTTTGCTCACATCTGATTGGTCCAATTTCAATTTGAGCTCTCTAACTCAGAACATAACCTGCCCCGGAGCAGGTTAGCCTGTGGAGTGTAAATTACTATGGCAATGAACGCAGCTAAAAGGCAAGCCACATTCATGGTACCTAAAACCCAGGATTGGTGCAAACTAAACTGAAATTTACCTGGCTAGCCAACTAATCTGGCTTCATGGTACAGTTTGCTAATCATTTACACACACACACACACACACACACACACAAACACACCACTCTCATGCACACGTTTTCATCTCTCCCTCCCTCAGACGCCAACAAATTACCAACAAGGATGGTGTGTGTTTGTTTAAGGATTTGCTATGTTTGTAGGTAGGAAATTTCCAGTCCTGTACCACAACAAACCATCATCCCTATTCATGTGAAAGAAAATAACTCACCATTTTTTTTCTTGTTACTCAACTTATTTTGCTCATATCTTGTTGTGGACACATACTGTAGTCTGACTATCACTGACATGACCAGCAGGCTGCGATATGACAGAGCCCTGTCATAATACACACATAGTACTAGGGCGAACACACATATAGAGAACACCATATGTTAAATAATTCACACTTCACTAAACAGTCTGTTGTAGAGACAACAAACGGGTCAGCTGACCAGCTAATATACTTACATCTGACCCTCTTGTTTGTGTCAGTCTGATTTGTAAGCCAACCAAGTGGTTCATTGAAAAGAACCGATTCAAATGAACGATTCGTTCTCTGATTCATATATCTGAATTCTCTGAGACTGAATAATTCATTTTAATTTGTAGGTGATCTATTCTTGCTGAAATTCATTTCAAGGATAATTATACATTTTGTAGATGCTGCAATGGTTAATAAATTACGTGTTTAGAATAAATCCACTGTCCACTGTAAAAATAATTTTTCAATAAATAAAAAAAGACATCACAGAATTATTGAATGGAAGCTTGTAGCATGTTCCCCGATTAAGTTCTGGAAATTATACCTACAAAACATAATTCATTCTGTTTGTGTGTCTGTGTCCAAGAACTCCAAAGAAATCAAACTATAATGTTCGTCTGATTAAAACAAATTAACCTCTGAAACGGATTAATTATTTACTGCTGGCTCAACACCCGACACCAACTCTGGATATCTGTCAGAGACAGACATAAAGAGAGAGAACCCTTCTGTGTTTGTGACATTAAAAATAATATAATATAAAACACCATAAAACTCACTTTAAAGAGCATCACAAAGCTTAGAAGCAGATCTGTGTGCTTTATTAGCTTGACAAATAACTGTACATTTGTGTTAACAAAACAATGACGAGACCAAAAAAAAAACAATGCATGAAAAATATGAATATTAGATTAATAAATATTAAAAAGTAAAAAATAGAATAACTGATCAATTCTGTGCCAGATAATTGTGTGCAACTCAAGAAATAAATGGTAATGATAGATAGATAGATAGATAGATAGATAGATAGATAGATAGATAGATAGATAGATAGATAGATAGATAGATAGATAGATAGATAGATTCAAGTTTCATGAAATCAGGATCTTGATGAATCTTAAAAAGGCGATTTCTTGGTAAAGTGATAATGTCACATTGCTATCACAATATCATATACAAGCAAACTGAAAACAAAGTTTATAAAGTTCAGCATTATAAACATGATCAGTCGATTTAAAAGACACTAAAACCTCAATCACAGATTGTGTGTGAGAGAAAGACATAAACAACTTTGTTCGATTTGATTACATAAAGTTATACTTCCTTGTAAATTATCATACATAACTTCAGAACCTGTGCGTTAAACATTTATTAGCCTGCATAAACATTTGAAATGTCAAATTCAGTCTACTTTTATGCACTGATGTGGTTGTTAATGAACAGTAAACTTGCTCTTAAACCATGTTTGGAGTGGCTTAATCTGTCTTAGTTGGACGCAACATGACACAATAACAGCCTGTGATGTATATTTTATGTTTAATATACAACTGATAGGATATGGACCAATGAGATTCCACTGTGGGTGCGGCTACTCTGCAGAAATAAAAATTGTAGAAATAGAACATCTCATTTGTTGCTTTTTCAATGGCATTAGTTCCAGAATTATTTTTCGCATTCATTTCTCCCATAGGGATTTTTTTTTTTTATTAATTCTTTAAAGCCGGTAGAAGCCATGAACCAAACCAACAAGCAACAAGGCGAATCACAACATTATAAACTTTGAAGATATTAAAGATGCAGTTTGTAATGCTGACAGCTAGCAGTTGAAATGGGTACTGCAGTTCAAATTCAAAATATTGGAGAGAGTTGTTTCTCCCGCCACCTCCTCTTCAAACTGGACGCTCATGCGGGTTGCCAGATTGTGGACACCTAACAGGAACGAGCACAACTGACAACTCAAGATACATATGTATTAATTCAATCATAAAGTATTTATATTCATCATGGTAGTATTTGTTGTGTTACCTGTAAGTAATGAGCATTGTTTTGCTAGCTGATTTTTGACAAATATAAATAAATATCACAGTACGATTATTATATTAGAATAACAAGAATCATCAGGATATAATGAGAATTCTTTAAATATATTAAAAGGGTAAATATTGGCAACAAACAAACAATATATAAATAAGAATGAATGAATGAAGATTAGAATTTTTTTAATATAACCTGGACATGTTTTTGTGAGATTCACCCAGACACTGGTATTTACAATATGAGCAAATCTTATAATAATAATTTGTAACATTTGTGTGTGTGTGTGTGTACCTCTCAGTTATAATGCTGGGATTTACTGTAACAAGGTCAGTCTTAGATCCCACATCTTCACTGTACATATCTGAGATGGGAGGAATATTACATCTGAAAGAGATTTGACATGTTGTTCAGCAGATGCCTCTATATATTCCCATAATGTCTAAACAAACCAACACAAACAACAGTATTTTACCGGAAGACAAAGTCAGCTGCGTCGATCTCTCGTCCACACTTGCTGTTTTTGATGATGCCGCCGTTCCCAATAACAGCACATTTCTTAAACTGGGATTTGGAATAGGGCATGTCCTGCAGTCAGAGCACAGAATACATTCAGAAACAGGACAGGAGCAACCCAAATGAGATTACAGGGATGATTGCTTGGAGATTGTTGCTTGGCAACTGTTGCAGGCATAGGGTTTCTAGGGTGTGATCACTGCAGAGGTTGCTAGGTAACGGCTGTCTTGATACTTAAGGATAAGGATGCTTGATTCGCCAGGGTGTGTCTGCATCATGTGTGTGTGTGTGTGTGTGTGTGTGTGTAGAGATCTCAGCATATATGCAGATGTCAATTCACCCATTTTGATTTACATTCTATTTCACAGCAGTCAAACCATTCGTATGGAATTTACTCAGGATTCCTATAGGAATTTAGGTAGAATTTGGAGTAAATCCTAACTGAATCACATAATAAGAATCTTTTGTGAAGCATATGAACTAACTAATATTATTATTCTTTGATCGAGGTTATCATGTAGTTTTTAATTATAACTTGGTAACACTTTACTTAAAGCCTTTATGCACTATGTTTTTGGCATAGTGCATAAGGCCAAATGTTTTTGGCCTAAAAAATAATTTGGCCTCAAACCTAGAGATTAGAATAGAATAGAATAGAATACCGTGTATTTTATTAGAATTATTCCCGAAATCAACTTCTATTATATTGGAATAATGCATTTATACTAAAAAAAGGAAATATAATACAATTTAATATATAATATAAATAATATAATTTGGCCACAAATCTAAAGATAATACTATAATATAATATACATATTATGTATTATATATGTTATTATTAATAGATAGGATATTTTATTAGAATTATTCAGAAATCTACTTCTATTATATTGGAATATTATTCAGAAATCTACTTCTATTATATTGGATTAATGTACTTCTACTAAAAAAGGAAATATAATACAATTTAATATATAATATAAATAATATAATTTGGCATCAAATCTAAAGAATTAAATAAGAATCTTATGTGAATCAAATGTATTAACTAATATTTCTACAGTATTATGAATTCTGTCTAGATAGAATATTTTGAATTAGAATTTATACAGAAATCTACTTCTACATTGGAATAATGTATTTCTACTAAAAAAGGAAATAATATAATACAACACAATTAAATATATAATATAAATAATATAATTTGGCCACAAACCTAAAGATTACTCATTTTAATAATACAATATAATATAATTGGCATCAAACCTAAAGAATCAAATAAGAATCGTATGTAAATAAAATGGATTAACTAACATTTCTACAGGTCTAGAATATTTTTTAATTAGAATTTATTCAGAAATGCACTTCTGTTACATTGGAATAATGTATTGCTACTAAAAAAAAGGAAATATTTTAAAGGCGTTAAAGTTTAATCTAAAAGATTTTCTTTTTGATCTCCTGAATGATCCTACAACAAGGAATCTGTTTAGAACATTCCAATTTGGATCGTTTCTAAACGATGATCAAAATTCCAATAGGAATCATCTTTGCAGTTTCATCTGCTCTTCCGAGCTCATGTAGTCAAAGCCAGCGCTTTAAGTGTGATTTCACACTCACATCAGGGAACATTTTAAAGATCTCCGGGCTGATGTGCAAGATTCCACTCGTATCCACCTCATAACGCAGTTTGGTGCCCGAGGGAGTGTTTCTCTTAGTGGTAAACAGGAAGGAGGGGGCATTGCAGCAACGGGACAGAGACATTCTATTGGACAGGGGGAGAGATGACATCATCGCTTCGTTACCACAAAAGAATCCTATTGGAGATGACATCATTCCTTTGTTTCAAGGAAGGAATCCCATTAAGACTGTGCTGAAGTTCGTGATGTGGTCATGTACTCACTTGAAGTTATCTGTCTCCTCCTTGTTTTGCTCCCACTTACACACCTGCAGGTTCCTCCATCGCTCGAACAGCTCTGATGTCTTCACCCTAAAACACACACGCACACATAAAGTCAATTAAATAAGAGAAAAACAGCAGCAGTCCCAGCTACAAGTAGCTTTCCTTATGAAACGCCATGGAGTGGAAAGGAGAGGGTGCTCTTGCTCAGATATTGTATTTCTTTAAATAGATGCTCTTTTCACAGAGTTTGTCCTTCGAGACGAGACATTCATCAGGAAATGTGACTCCCGCTGGAACGCTCGCTCTGTACGGACACGGACAGACATCCGAGAGAGAAACTTACATGGTCAGTACTTTCACATCTGTGATTTCTTGCCGTAGCTCCTTGCAGGAAGTGGAGTTGAACTCTAAAGAGCCTTCGGAGCGTTCCAGATACCTGCCAGAACACAGAGTCAGACACGTGTCCTCTGAACACACGCGCACCGCACACACACTGCAGGAGCAACCTGAGATGAGCTTCCAGCATGGAGAACCTAACTGAAGATCCTCAACGCTCTCGTCTCGGCAGTCTAGTCAAACAATCCTGAAGAAACGCCAGTGGATTTCTGTCACAACTTGGAACCAAACCTAATAGAATCAAACATGAATCCGCTAAGACTCAGTTTAGATATTTTCTTTAGTTGGCGCTGATAACCTATGGGCAGTGTGTTGATATGTAACACCGTTGCGTTTCGAAACGTCCCGAGTTCAAATCCCGGCTCGAGGACTTTTCCCGGTCCCATCCCCCTCTCCCTCTCTCTCTCTCTCTCTCTCCACTTCACTTCTTGTCTCGTCTACACTGTCCTATCGTAATAAAGGCAAAAAATATTATTTTTAAAAGATGATATTTTCTTTATTTATATTGCATGTATATTCTATTAGAGTCCGCTCATTGTCAGGCTTTTAATATATTTCTGGTACTTCTGCTGTAATGACAAAGCTGCTTAATAAAAACTTTTGTTGTTGTTATTAAATACTTAAATATTTATCCAATATAAATTTTACAATTATATTTAATGAAAATAAATAATTTTTTTGTAGCTGAAGAAGAACTCTCAGTTTCAATAACTGAATGTTCTTCAGGGTTTATACTTTTTATTACCAATGAATTTACATGATTTTTGTAGTCATTTTAGTCATTTCTGATTACAGATTTTAAGAAATATTTGTATTTAATTATATTTATAAAATATTTTGGTGCTTAAAATAAATAAATATATATATATAAATAAATAAATATATATATATATATAAATAAATACATAAATATATATATATATATATATATATAT